ATATATATATATATATATATATATATATATATTAGTGCATATATTATATTAAACATTTTAATATTATTTTAATTATGCAATTTTCATAAATTCATTTTGTGGTAATTTACAGTTTACTAGGTGATTTGTTTCAGAAAATAAGATCAACACATGCACACAATTCGATCAATTTTTAATTATATACAATTGTACAGAAGTACATTTTCTAGAAACGGAGCTCTAAGTATCAAAAATGCATCATTTCAGAGAAAAAAAAGATACTGTGCCTTTCTCTTAAGCTGTTGAAACCTCTAGAGTATCAAATCTCTCACGTTGCAGACCTGGAGGGCCTCTGTGAGCTGCGTAACCCTTTAAACAGCAGTTAAATAGGTTTGGAAAGTGAGTCAATTGTGTCCCAACTCAGCTAGATCCCTCAATTAGCCAATTAAGTAATAGCTTACAGCAACAACAGCACGTCCAACTACTGCAGGGGAGCGAGCACTACTTAAATGTATAATGTGAGACAAATTAGCACAATTTTCATGGCTGATTGATTGACTTACAATTAAGCCATAGATGAGTGTAAAGTAATTGCAGTTGTTTTTCTAATGTCATTTTACCCTTACTAGATACCATGACAACATGGATGTAACCAGCAATTTCCTTGGAGCCATGTGGTTGATCTCAATAACTTTTCTAACCATTGGATATGGGGATATGGTCCCCAATACATACTGTGGGAAAGGAGTCTGTCTCCTCACCGGCATTATGGTAAGTGCCGTATCTCAGCGTAACATAGAGTTTGTTTTCGATTGAATGCTTAAGGCAGTTGTTTGTTTTGTCAGGGTGCAGGATGCACTGCTTTGGTGGTCGCTGTGGTCGCAAAAAAACTGGAATTAACCAAAGCCGAAAAACATGTACATAACTTTATGATGGACACCCAGCTGACAAAAAGGGTAAGTCTGAATTCCTGAATCAAATGAGTCTTGTGGCGTCGTATGTCACCGTTTGTTTTTAATCCCTGCAAACCTGTGAAAATAATACCCAGCTTATGCAAAGTGGAAAATAATGTGCATCTATTAAATATAAACAAAATATGTGAATTTATTAACGTGACACCCTGCTTCCAAAACATTATTTTGAAACCCAAATACACAAAATTCAGCTTTTTGAGAGGAAGATTACATATAATAAAGTTAAAAACAGTTACGACGTTGGCCTGACAGAAATGTGAGAAATAGGCTGGACATGTAAAAAAAATAGGCTAGATATTCTAGCTTTCGTTCTTCAAGCATGGCTTACTTGGTTAGCCAGATAAGCTTTGTTACATAAACGAAGTATATTATTTTAAGATTAGCCAATTACGCTAACAGAGGCTTAATGCTAATGCTCTGCAACATGCTAACACCAAACTCTATACAGTGCGACAGTGTCTGCTCAATTTTCAGCAACCTGGTGGTGCTTATGGAACAGTAGCGATACAGCGTTTCCAAAGCAGCGCTGCGCTTATGAACACTACTTTAATATGCATTAAACAGAGGCATGATGAAAAGAAAATACCATCTAAACTTTTCTAAAGACAGTCAGTTTCCCTCAGAGATGCATTCATATAAACCCCCACCCCCAATTGTATCGCAATTCGTTTAACATCTCAACCGACTTGAATCATCACATATTTTAGCAATAATTAGCAAGCTAATTATTTCAGTACATATCCCAAGGTTTCACTATTCTAAGGCCATGTCCACACGTACACGGGTATTTTTATAAACAGAGTTTTTCCCTTCTTCCGTTTAAAAAAAAATCTCTGTTCACATGAAAACGCAAACGCATGCTATTAAGCACTGTCAAGAACATGCCAAACCAACAGGTGGCGATATAATCTCAACCGTAAAGCCATGTTGGCCAATCAGAAGCCTGAAAAAGTTTCCAGTAGGCGGAGATAACAGTGCGGGCTCCGACGTCACAAGCTAAAATCTCCGGTTTCGCTGTCTACACGATAACACTGCAAGAACCGGAGTTTTTGAAAATCTTCACCCTGGCAGGCGTTTTCAAAAATGTTCGGTTTCAGTGAACTGGTGCTGCGTTTGCATGTGGACGAACGGCCAAACCGCATAGAAAAAGCTGCGGTTTTAAAAATAACCGCGTTCGTGTGGACAGGGCCTACAACTTATTATGCAAACCAAGTAAGCCACGTCAAATCATTGGGGCTCAGGACGCTTCAGCAGAAGCACTGAATGCTACAATGCTAACTCTCCCACAGGTGAAAAACACAGCTGCTAATGTTCTCAGGGAGACGTGGCTCATTTATAAAAACACCAAGCTGGTGAGGAAGATGGACCACGCCAAAGTCAGGAAACATCAACGCAAGTTTCTTCAAGCCATCCACCAGTAAGTCAGATCTCTGGAGACCCGTCAGGACTTCTCGCGCCCTTTATGTGTGTGTCTGTTTTTCAGAATGCTTTGAGCTCTGAATTGTTTGACACCTGTAGCCCAGGGTAGAAGCCGCTGATGATGGATTCATTTTTGTTGTGTTTGAATGGGTAAATCCATTTGTACCACATTTGTTTTGGTGATCTGAGATATTTAGTATCGCTCATTGTATTGACGCTCTGTTCTTCCATTATAGAGTTAATTCAGCCCTCAGTAAGGCACTAGTGAGGACACTTGCTTTTTCCCCATCATTCTCACTCTTGGTATTTATGGGCCATCTAAAAGAGGACGTAAGTGCCCTGTAAATGTCACTCTCTTCCAGTGACTGATTATTTGGGAAACCCAAAAGGCAAAATGGTTATAAACCCACCTCATTTCAGCTGAAACCCTCTGGGTTTGTAGTTTCTTCACCATGTTTTATTTTCAGCTACTCTCAGAGATACTGGCTCGAAATTGAGGCTATTTGTTGTTGGGTTATAAAGCACTTTACCATGAAACTTTACCACAGACAAAACACACTTTTCTCATCAATACAGTGTAAAACATTACAGGAAACATTTCAAACCTTGTATTATAAGCCTCCACTAAATGGATGAGATGCCCATTAATGGAAAGAACTGAATTCTATCATTCACATAGAAATTTAAAGTTTTTTTTATACCTAACGGATTTTATCTACCGCTATCTTTCTTTTAATGAGAATAAGTTGTGTGTTAAACTTCTAAATCATATAAAACTGTATTTTATGTTTGTAAAGAACATTAGTGTATCAAGTGCTCAATACTTCAGGATCATATATGTTACCATTCAAAAGTTTGGGGTTGGTATTCATATTATTTAATGTTGCTTGCATTTATTTGATCAAAAATACAGTAAAAAAAAAACTGTAATATTGAGAAATATTATTATTTCACAAAATATTATTATAAATATTATTTCTATTTGGATGTATTTTAAAATGTGATTTATTCTGTGATCAAAGCTGAATTTTCAGCATCATTACTCCAGTCTTCAGTGTCACATGATCCTTCAGAAATCATTATAATATGCTGGTTTGCTGATCAAGAAACATTTGGTATTATCAATGCTTACTATTTCGTGAAAACGGTGATAAATTTTCAGGATTCCTTTATGAATGAAACGTTCAAAAGAGCAGCATTTATTTGAGATAGAAATCTTTTGTAACATTGTAAGTGTCTTTAGTGTCACTTTTGATCAATTTAATGCATCCTTGCCGAATAAATGTATCCATTCACTTTATCAGGTTATCATCTGTTATTGTATTAAATTTAGTGAAAAATACCCTTACTTTAAAGTTACTTTTTAAAACCACCTGTGATTTAATAACACTGTTCTATGTAATCTTCAAGAAATCTCAAAATGAATATCTAATGTTCATATTGTACATTATAATACATTATCATACTGTACATTATAATAAAGATACTAGTTTTAAGTATTTTGTTTGATTTATTTAGACAAAATACTTTGTAATTTTTAATATCAGCATGTATCAGCTATCGACCATGAAAATAATTATAATTATTATTACCTTGGCTGTATTAGACAGAATTATCCTGTCAATACCATATCATCATAATAATTGTAATTTTTAAAAAACTGGTTGAAAAGCTTTAAAGGGATGATTCATTCTTGGAACAACATGAGGGTGAGTAAATGATGACAGAATTTTCTTTTTTGGGTGTCTATCCGTTTAATTGTTGAGTTAAGTACAAAACTGTTTTCAAAAGCATATCATAATTCAAAAAGCGCTCTACCAAAAGCCTGGAAAAAGGTTAAAATAATCTTCAACAAGACCTAAGGAAATACTGTAATTAAACTGAACTGAATTCAGGTAGTGTGTATATCTCAAAGCAACAGTATGAAAGCAGTGAAATGGCTTTGAAGTCCATGGCTAACGCTGTAATTGTGGACCGTGTAAGCTAATATTGAATAAGGAGCATCTCTAAAGCAACTGGAAACCATGACGGATGCGGAGAGCACATCCTATCGTCCTTTACTCCTGCTTCACTATTCATGAAGGTGTCAGGGGACGAGTTTCACCGCCTTTCATTTTAGGCTTCTGTCAGACTCTCTCTTCTTTTCTCTCTTCATTTAAAGATTATTCATCACTCTGTCCCACTTTTCATCTGCTCTGTGACATTAGCGTTGTGTCCAGTTTAATGCTAGCTATAAAGCAATCATTAAATCTTTTTTTATTCAGATTTCAAATCAGATTTATTTGTCCTGTTAAGCTTTGAAATGTATGGTCGTGATTTTGAGCCGGAGGAGACACATTTCATGCTATTAGATGAGAGTATTGAATGCCTTCTGTTTATTTTGTCTCACACTGCTCTTTTATAATTAGCTAAATCAACCATGCTCATAAAAACAAATATTCATTATTGAAAGATGTTCTTTCAGAATAATTAGCTAAATCGAAACACTGATAAAAATCTGCACAAGCATTTGCAGAAAACATTTATCGCATTTGAATTCCCTTCATTTTGTTCTGCATCTATGTTTCATCATTGGTGTTTGCCAGATAAACCACTAAGCAACCACCTTAATGTTGTAGCAGCAATGCAGAACACCCTAGCAACCTCCCAGAATTTCTAGCAACCACCAAGTAGAACCACCAACCAGTCACCTAGAATGTCTTAGCAACTACCAGAATACCCTAGCAACCACCATGTAGTCCCTAGCAACCAGCCCGAACCCACAGGAACCACCTAGCAATCACACCAAATACCCTAGCAACCACTCAGAATGTCCTACCAGCCACCTAGCAACATCATCCTAACTACCCAGAATGTCATAGCAGTCACTTTACAATCTCTTACTAACTCCCCGGATTGGACTTCGCAATGTCCTAACAGCCCCTTATAATCTCTAGCAACCACAGAACAAACCCAGCAAACACCTAGAATGTCCTAGCAACCCCCAGAATGCCCTTGCAACCCCATAGCAACTACCATTTAGACCATGACAGCCACACAGAACAGCCCACCAACCAATTAGAAACCACCCAGAACCACTAGCAACAACCATGTACACCCTAGCAACTGCACAGTACCACCTAGCAACCACTCAGAACCACCTAGCAACCCCTAGAACTCCAAGCAACCACCGGATAGACCCTAGAGACCACACAGACACCACACATTTAGACCTTCACAACCACAAAGAACAACCCACTAACCACCTAGAAACCACTAGTATCCACCATGTACACCGTAAAAACCACACAGCACCATCCAGCAACCATCAAACAGACACTAGAAACCACAGAGAACCACCCAGTAATGACCTAGAATGTCCTAACAACCCCCATAATGCCTTAACAACTATCATTTAGACCCTAGCAACCACTCAGAACCACAAGCAACCACCATGTAGACCCTAGCAACCATGCATCACCACTCAGCAACCACTCAGAATCACCTAACAACCCCTAGAACTCCTAGCAACCACCAGATAAATCCTAGCAACCTCACAGAACCACCCAGTAATGACCTAGAATGTCCTAAACACCCCCAGAATGCCCAGGCAACCTCCATTTAGATCCTAGCAACCACCAGGTAGACCCTAGAAACCACACAGAACCACAATCACCCTGCAATCACACTGAAACCCCTAGCAACCACTCAGAACATCCTTGCATCACGGTAGTGAAAACTTTTCTTTAGGAGAACTAAAAATCTGTTTTTCCTCACCACTCAATGACCTTGATTCATTATGTAAAGTTGATAATGATCGAGACAATGTATTCAAACTTCGTCGTCTGCTCTGTTTCACTCTTGCCACAAAATGGAATCAGATGCCGTCAGGCTGCAGTTTGCGAGATACAACACAGCTAATAATGCTGAGGGTAAAATCACACAATGTCCTAGCTCTTTTTATAGACACATAGGCTGAAAGAAAACAGTCTTGAGATTGCTTGCAGCAGCAGTGTTGGGAATACAGACGAGTGGGCTAATGTTCAGTCAGGACGCATAAACCACAGGCTACTGCTCACACACATGACACCGCAGATTAATGGTCAAATCGCTCCCGGCTCTGTGTAAAACCATTAGTGTGTGTTCTTGTGTTTTTATGGTTGTATATGTGTTCACATGCCTTCATTAAGACTATATGTGAGCATCAATACGGCCAATACAAAGTCAGGTGTGTGCGCCCGTCTTAACAGGCCTGTGGTTTTCTGTATTCTACTTTGATTCATTCCCCCTGATTCTGTTCAATTTCCTTTGTTTAAAGAGCGCCTGGCCCCGTTCCAAACCCATAAAGATAGGAAACCGCCGTCGCAGGCCAAATCTGAAACTACCCAGTTGGCTCAGTCTTCACTAATGGCTCCGGTGTGTGTCCTTTAACACTGAATGCTTGCGGTTTTGCATAATGAGGACGGCTAGGATCGATTTCCACTGATCGAGGCTGTTCTTATCATGCATTAGTTCTAGAATAGCGAATCGCCTGAAATGATCTACAGGCCATCTTCAGGCCAAGGTACGTTTTAGATGTTCTACGCATGCCGAGGCCACACAGGAAATAAGGAACACATCTTGTTTTTGGAGGTCTGTTTGTCCTCTGCTGTGCAGGCAGGTGCCGGGCTGCGATAAGCAAATTCACTGTTAACAGGGCGATGATGATGATTGCACGTCACAACGAAGATTGCGAACGGTGGCTTTGGGGACAGGCAGAGAATGTCTGTGGAATGCACATGAAGAATGGGAGGAGAGGGGTGGGCGGTGCCAGCGGTAACTCTAGCCTGTGTGCAGCGTCCCATGCACCAACTGCTGTGCCACCAAACCCTACTTTAATCATCAGCAGGGTCCGTAGGACCAGCACTCTTGGGCCAGAGTGTCGTTAGCTAAACGAGCGGCGCAAGACTGACACACAGCGCATCTGGCACGTTATTAAAGGTCAGAAAGAGACACAATCTGATGCACTCCATAATAAGT